CAAGCTAGTGTCGAAAATCTTGGCGCAGTTGGCACTCGAACCTGGGACCTCTGTCAGAAGCCCTGCACTGGTGATGAACCATCTCTCTCGGTGAGGATGAGGACGAGTTGGAGAGAAGATTGTTTTGGAAAGATTGAACACCGGATGAAATGGAGTACGACGGGTAGGCCGCCGGAATTTAGCCCAGAGCCATCTTTGCCGCTAAGACTGCAGCGACTTTGACCGGGAGGTACTAGGATTTGAGTCACGATAACGGCAGATTTTCGGTACTAGGATGATAGGATAATTTCAGATAATTGATGTAGAGTTGTAGCGGCCGGTTGTTCTGATCGGTATTTTTCCGTTATTTCTCCGATCAACACTAGGCGCGTGACATCACAAACTAGCATCGGACAGCTCGCGATCTCTCCTTCCTCTTCCTTCTCCTTAAGTTTTTCCTTACACACACGCACTTGCAATTACATGCACCACATCGCCACACATGTCCGGGGACTAGAAGGGAGCTAAGAGCACGTGCCGGCTAGGGCGGTGTCCAGCGGGAGAAGACAACTAAAAAAGAAGTTCCTTCGCAAGCCGACGTATAGGTCGGAGTAATATCTCATCCAAAGGGGGAGTAATACCCCCTCCATTTGTAATAAAACATCCATTACGCGAACGAGACTAATTTCTTCAGCAGTTGAAGTATCCGGAACATCAATCAGAAGGGTAAAATAGTAACCAAATGTAAGCAGCAACACACATCGCATTAGGAAACTGACGTGAATAAAAACAGTCATGTAAATGCCGCGGAGATAACTCGAAGAAGGGAAATTGGAGGAGGAAGGTGTGTGAAGATAAGAACATGTAAAAGAGAAGTAGAGAGGTGGTCGTGTTAGAAACCGGGTGTGAAGAATAAAAAACTAAGTGAAGAGCATGACGTTAATGAAGGGAAATGTTGATACACGGAAGAAATTAAAGAAGTTCGAGGTGGAAGGAAGTCGTAAGCGGTAATGTAGGACGCAGTAAGATCGCAATCAGATGAGAGCAAAAATAGCCGAGGCAGTGACCGAAGCTAAGGAAGAAGTTGGTGTGTAGTTAGAGGTAGAGACCATCAGAGCCTGAGAGAGAAGTTGGCATCGGGAAGCGGGCTGCCCGAATATTCCGGAGACCTCGGTGACCGCAGCCGCGTAGGCGGCAGCAATGGCGGTGGAGCCTCTGGAATTGCTGCAATTCAGCCACCTTATTTCAGCTTTCCCACCCAACCAACTCTCTGCTTATATTTTTCATGTTTTTTATCTGCACTGGTCTATGTCTTTCGACTTCCATTCATCGAATTCAATCTCACTTACTTTTACCACTCATCAGTTTTCTTATATAATATAAATTATTGTTTCCATGACGATGCTATTCTCTCTTGTCGTTCTTCTCCGTTTTTACTCCGGCGGTCATTTTGTAAAAGTTCAATCTCTTCTTTTTACTTTCTCGTCCTCGCGAAGGTACTTCGTCAGAAGGGAAAGTTATCTAATCGTGTTTTAAATGTCATTTCTGCTAGAGCGGAAGACTCCCACTAGCCGAGTGAGAACGTTTAGATTACATTGAAAAATAGTGACATTGTTTAGGAAATAGGATTGATAGAGGATTAAATTAAGTATTAGTACACATTAAATCAATATAATAAATAATTATTTGTGAATTAAATGCAATAAACCACACCAGGTAGATGATGGTCAGGAAGGGTCCAAGAACTGTGAAGGTAGTTTCCGCTTGAGTATATTGTGATAAGGATTCCGACTTTGAAATGTACAGCTGAGGGAATCTGAGGAATTTGGGGATAGCTGGAGAATATTAGAGAAAATGTACAGAGTTCGCAGTGATGCCGAGGTTGTTATGTAACTGTGAGTTATGTACAAACCACGGTAGCTTCTTTTTAATGGTTCGGAGGAATTTATTTTTAAAAATCCACCTTCAAATTCTATTTAATTTGCTGGCTGAATCTCAGATAGCAGAATCGTAGGGTAAGATTGGACGGATCATCGATTGGTGTAGGCGACATCTCTACCCCGACGGCGGGCAGCGACGGCAGTGGCGCGGTCGATGAAGGCCCCGGACAGCAGCCGTCCATTCATTGCCGGCGGCCGTCCCCCGAAGCCCGCCCGGCGCATTAGCGCTGGAAATAGCCGCGGGCGGCGATCGCGATTCGCGATACGCTCTTGCACGTGGACAGGTAGCAATGCGCCTCCACTGCCCGCTGCAGAGGAATGTCATCAAGGTCAGCGTTGTCACAGACACTCAACGGCCTTGTGCTAGGCACAAAAGCTGCACGAGAGGATCCCTCTAACGTCAGTGGTAAAAAAACTACAGTATAAAATATATAGTAATAACACCGTAATAATTTTTCATTTTATAATTTTCATTTTTCTTTAATTTTGTTTTTTTTTTCTTCAAAAATTGATAAGTGAAACAGGTAGACATATATGATACATGATTATTCATTGCAGGTTCGCGCACAAGACTATGTCTTCTGCGAAATAATGTCAACATTATTTGTACTTTGTTACAATCTGTAATTAAATAAATAAATAAATAAATAAATAAATAAATAAATAAATAAATAAATAAATAAATAAATAAATAAATAAAAACATTTTTAGGCAGTCTTTATAAAAAGAAGTTAACTTTAGAGCATGGAGAGTATGCTTCAATTTCTAGCATTGTTACTAAAAGCGAGACGACGCTCGAATGTTTAGACAAAACAATGTAAATTCAACAAAGGAAACAAACGGCTAACCGATGTAATTACGAACCCTAATATAATAGTATACATAATTGAGTGATTTGTACACTTGGATTACAATAAAAAGAAAGTCTGTCAATCTGAATAGAACTAATATAAGATACGAATATTTCGAAAAAGTACATTGAGTTAAAAGTGACAATTATTTCGAATTCTGGTTTATAGGGTTTTTCTCTATAATTTTAGAAGATTCTAAGAATTTTATACCTTGTTGACACAGGTGTCTGCAGGTATCTCCCCTCAGCGGGCACTGACCTAACTGGGTCAAGTTCTAAGCTCCCTATGTCATGTGGTAGTGTAGTGCAGTGCAGTGCATGTGTTAGTGTGTTCGTGTGTTCGGGGAGGGGATAGGATAAGGTTAAGGATGGATAGATTGCGTGTCCAATTGTTAGAGTACTGCTTTGGTATTTGTCTGGTATAGATTCGAAAACTACAAACGATGAAAATAGAATTCTTCTCAAGAGGGCGTCTGAATTCGGCAAGGGGGGATGACAACGTCAATGCTGACTCTGAGCTAAACCCAGACGGTATCTCGTCTCGAAGAGGCACAGATTCGAATTTCGTGACGAGTAAGGATTTTAATTTCTGTGTAGTGGAATCGGCGGCCCTTTTACAAACCGCGTATGATCTAAACAATGGCCACTATTCTTTGTCGTTCCTTCGTCCGCACTCGGTAAATGTCAATGTATCACAGGCGAGTGTACGAATAGTATATACACTGGCCAGTATTAGTCTGTGAATCTCTACGATGAGAAGGAGATAATGACTGATGCATGGTGTCATGACATGATGTCAAAGGGCATACTAATGGCGTGGGACGTCAGTAAATTCCTAACACAAATATACCGACGTTAAAAGCCTTACTGATGATGATGATGATGATGATGATGATAATGAATTGGACATAGAACGAAACTAAAGCGTAGTGTTTTACATTTACTTATCTTAAGAGTTTTCATATCTTTCGTAGGTATTTACAAATGTGTATGTACAGAACAGTCGCTGTACACGCCAGAAAATAAAATAATGTTGAAGTAAGACTGGAACTCGTTACACTTTCAAATACTATACATTTACAAATTTCTAAGTGATTTGAATAATACACAAAATTTCATTTGTTTAGTAATAACTTCTAATAATACTCAATAATGTACGTGATACTGAACATTCCTGTTCAGGGCGACCACACTATTTTTTTAGACATTTACAAACTTCTAAGTGATTTGAAGAATGCACAAAACGTCATTTGTTTAGTAATAACTTATAATAATACTAAAGATTGTACGTGATACTAAACATTCCCGTTCAGGGCGACCACACTAATTTTTTAAATTTATAGTTTTAACTTTTTTCTACTTTTATTTACGTTATTCTCTTCATCGCCATGACCCTCTCGTATTTGTTGATTTCTCTAGGCCTGAAAATGTATTCATCCAATCATCATCTGTCCTAAATAATATATAACTCACGTGAGATATGTCTTGAAAAATCTCTCAATTTAATTTATTTATGAAGACATTTTGTGTTTTTTCGGTTATTTTATTTTAATATGGTTTTCAAGCTTTCATATAAATTTATCGCCAACATGTAGCATGTACTTTTCGATTAACGGGATTCGCTGGCGAGTCACGTTTTCCGTGTGCCTGTTTTCCCGCTGCTCCTCTTTTTGTTTTTATCCGCGCGACCGAATCCAATCCGCGCTCGTATTGAGGTTATCACATAATTTGATCTGCCATGAAGGGATTTGGGATCGGAGCACAAAGAACATTTCACAATGGCATTGAAAGTCAACATGGGGAGGTTTGTTTATTCCAAGTGATGTGACTTGTACGAAAACGATCGAAAATTGTAACAAAACAAAATTACTGGAATGCACGAGTGAAGCCTTTTGAAAATGTAGAGAAATGTCAATTATGATTAAACGTTTTCGATTGTTTTCTATTATTTTCGATTCTCGCGTTCAATAAATCCGCTTTGTCCTCTCTTTCTAGGATCTGGTTCTTTCCTCTTACATACCAATTTACGTCATGTACTCTTTTTTCATTTACATAATAGGTATACACTATTTTATAGTTGTACTTGTAACTTTGGTGATTATTGATCAACAAATGCTTTTACTTCCCACGTATACACGTGGTATTTTGTGTCTAGTTACCAGCTTCATTAAGTTAATTTTTTTAACTCCATTATCAAGGATTCCTCTAAAAACGTTATTCTTCTGTTCCAGGTGAGTCGTCAGACACATCTGCCACGTAATTCCCTGTACGGAACAAATTTTGTCATTCTTCTGGTAAGTTTACAGTCTATTGTACTTTTTGCGTGACTGATGGGTGTTTGAGTAGCATTATGTTATCGTGAACTAAAACACATTCACGTGAAATATTTTATCACTAATGATGTTTATGTTTTCAATCCTTAAGTCAATCCGGAAAGTCAACAGTCAGTAATTGCCGCTAAATAACATTAATTTTAATTAAAAATTATGTTCTTCGCGCCCTAGAAAGACCAACGTTTCGTTCGAGTTGGGAATATTTTCATTTTGGATCATCTATTGCGTATATCCTACAATATAATCATGCTGTTAAATGTGTTACTTTTTTTAGTAAGGTGGTTTTCTTCAACACGTCGTACACTTTCGAAATTTGTTAAAGAAATATTTAAAACACCGACAGATAGGAAAGATGTCAAAACATATATTGCATTAAGACATCAACTATGTGTTGGAAATTTCCTTAAAATCAAAATTTACATTCTGAAGGAAAGGTGTGGTTTTGATTGATTTTGTGCGCACAGGGGAAACGAGGAAGTAACGAATTTCCTCGTTTCAAATTCCACAGAAGGAAGGAAGTCTCTGCACAGTCTGCAGTTATCCCGGAAGTCATTCACTGCAACATTCAACACTTCAATGCAGGCGAATAATGCAGTAGAAACTTCTCTAACAAAACGATTATTAACGCCGCACTTTTCTTTCTTTCGCTTTGCGGAGAGGGTCTTGGCTTGCTTGTTTATAATTCTATTATGATAACGTTTGATATGCAACTATCAGGAAAAACTGTTCACGAGATTGTGCGTAATATCATCTTCGCCGCCTATATGAAAGAAAATTGCGATGTGTTTCCTTAAGAATTTTGATCAATAATGCTGATAATATAACCTTCGTGCTTCAAAGCCTCTTCACGTAAAATGGGCCCATACGTTATTAAAAATGTACCCACGCACTGAATGATTAGAGCTTTTGTTATTCACAGTAATAATAAAAAAGTAAATAAACCAATGAGAATCCCAATTGACAAGATATTTGTAGTGGAAGAAAATTAGAAAAATATAATGTTGGAAAACAAATACATTTTGTGTTTGTAGATTTAGAGAAAGCTTCTGATAGTGTTCCATCGGCTAAATTTTGGAAAGTATTAAAGGAAACAAATATTAATATTAATAAAATAAATGTATTCGTAATAAAACCGTCAGCTCATCATCTTTTTGAAAGGGGGTAGAGCAGTTGCTAGTTATTTGGATCTATTATAACATTTATTACAACTCAGAAAATGTATTGTCATCTTCGAAAAGGTTTCCCCATCACTCACCCTCGAGTTACCCGTCCTTTCCTCTTCTCTGCGCGGCCCTCGCGTTTGCGTACTATGAAGGGAACAAGCCCTGGCAAGGACGAAAGCGGCGACCAGGAAGTGGGAGCTACAGAAAGAGGAAGCTACCCGCATCAATACATTTTCTCTAGTATGATGAGTTATTGCGTTGCAAAACAAAACAAAAATCTTACTTTTAGGCCGGGTTAAGCTAGAGGATAGTGAGGGATAGTTAAGTCAAAATCACAGGTCATTGCCGTGTTTGGTACAATAATAATACATTTAAAGTCCTTGCTATTTAGACCATGAAAACGTTTAAAATGTATCAGGTTTGGGAATATTCTAGTTAAAATAGTAAATGATAATTTAATTTTTTAATAATATGGTTTAAGTTCGCTTCATCTTTCTAAGATGTTGGCGGCTTTCAGCCCGTCCATTGTACACGATCAATTCATCATTTATTATTTATTATTATTATTATTATTATTATTATTATTATTATTATTATTATTATTATTATTATTATTATCACAGCCTTATAGCATTCAGCATTAACTCGGTAAGAGAGGTATAAACGAATGTGATATACGTATGTGGATATATGAATGGGGTACGCGCGTACTTAGCCAACGTATGAACGAACGGTGCAAAGATGTACAACAGGAAAGAATACCCCTGTTTAATGAAATGTCTCTCATTTGGCACAAAGGGAATATTCTGGATACTGCAATACTACACCATCCGGAGTACCACATTGTACACAGATTGCGCCCCTGTTCCCAACTGCTTCCACTTCCCAATCAGAGAGAAATCTAAGCGACGTCTCGGACACATTCGAGATAGCACTGAGGGCCTTCTCGGCTAGCCAGTCCACCTTATTCTCGAGCAAGTCCTTAAGGCCTCAGATGCTCATCACTTCACTAACTTCCGGGTAAGCCTTTGGCGCAGCCACCGCACCTTAATCGTGAGGTAACTCTTAAGGCCTCATCGGACCACTACCTTACCTCATTACGAGGTACCCCTTGGGCGCGGTCACCACATCTTAATTCCGAGGTAGCCCTTAGAGCCTCATCGGCTCGCCACCTTACCTCATTTCCGAGGTACCCCTTGGGCGCGGTCACCGCACCTTAACCCCTGAGAGCGGCGTCGACAGCCGCACGTCGCGGTGGCTGGGCAGGCGCGCGCACGCGCCGGGCGTGCGCTGGGTGTGAGGCTGTGGCCGACATTCCCGGGTCAAGGGCGGTTCGCACGCGCGCACGCGGCAGCGGAAGCCATCGCGATAGGCGCCTCGATTTCTGGGGCGAAGGCGCGCGCGCCCGCTGCGTCGCCAAGATTGCAGCCAAGGAAGGGAATTTGAATCAAAGGAATTAAGGAAATTATACAGTACCTCGGAATTAGTGTCACAAACTTCTAGGGAATCTAGGGGAGGTCGAAGATGATCACTTTTGGTCAAGGAACAAGTGGTGAAAAATTTCATATAACGAAGCTACGCATATGACATTTGCTTCTGATTGTCAGGGAACTAATGGGGCACTGGTGTTTGATAGATTCACATTATTAAGGATACGAAAAGATTTCGTTCCCGAAATTCGGCCGTCGGCTGTGAGGACGATTAATGATCACTAAGGACAACCATTTTGTATGTCGACTTAAAAGAATGGGGTGATTAGCTAAAGCAACTTATTTGCCTGCGGGTTCTTGTTCTGTTCGTGCATATAACATATAGGGCTCGCTCGCGACCCCTCAGAGGGAGAGAGACATCTCGAACGTTTGGAAGGATATGCTGCCAACTGACAAAATCGAAGGAAATGGAGATGAGATGATATTTGATATTGTTAATAATATAAATTCTGATTTATGTTAAAAGTGGAACATACTCTGCTGTGATCTGTGAACAAATTGCTACAGTAAAAATCACAACTGTAAGTGGAGAAATGTATTAATTGATAGATGACACATCGTTATCTATTTCCACGAAATGACTGAAATTTTATTTGGAAGTATGTCATTCATAAGGTCTTATGCTGTAATGTATAAAGCTACTTTAAAAATTACTACATTTGGTAGAACGATATCTGAATAGGCGTAGAGATGAAAGCTTGTCATTCATTTCCTCAAAACTGTTGAAATGTTGCTTTTAAACGTTATCATGCCAAAGATTTCATGCTGCATTCTGTGGAGCTACCGTAAAAATCCGTACTGTAGGTAGAGAGATGAAACGTTGACACCAGGTTCATCGAAACGACTGAAATGTTGTTTTTGAATGTTATAATTCCAAAGAGTTCATGCTGCATTCTGTGAAGCTACTGTGAAAATCACGACTGTTGGTAGAAAGATATCTGAATAGGTGGCGAGATGAAACGTTGACACCAGATTCATCGAAACGACTGAAATGTTGCTTTAAACGTTATCATGCCGAAGAGCTCATGCTGAAATGTGTAGAGCTAGTGTAAAAATCCCTACTGTAGGTAGAAAAATATCTGAATAGTTAATATTAATAGGATTGTTGGTGAGGTAGATACCTTTTTATTATGATAATAAAGATATTGTCAGGTATCAATATAAAAAAATATTGATACCTGACAATATCTTTATTTATTTATCATATCTGAATAATGGCGAGATGATAAGTTGACACCAGTTTCCCGCGAAACGGTGAAATGTTAGCCGGAACGCCGTCATTCCAAAGGCGAGCAACACCTGTCGGGAGCGTGCGTGCGTGGGGGGGGCTCGGCGCCTCACGCGCGCTCGTTAGTGACCGCGTGACCACCTCGTTAGGCGCCGCCTCCGCCGTGGGATTTACCCCTTTCGGCGCCCCCTGCCCTTCCCTTCCCTTCCCTTCCCCTCCCCTCCCCTCCCTTCCCTTCCTCTCCGACCACCACGCTTCCCCGAGTAGGCTCCGCGGCGGCGGTGGCGGTGACCGCAGCGCCCGTCCACGCCTGCTGCAGCGCCCCCTTTGCGTTCCCGCGGAGCACGAGCGGGCGATCAGAGAGAGGTACCCTCGATTCCTGCTCCGAAGGGTTGCGGTTTCATGCATGCTGCTGCGAAGCCATGAAAAGCACAATTCATTGATTAGGTATTCCGGGCGTCGACTGCTAAAGCCGTTAGTCCCGCGAGTGTAGTACATATTTTCATTGCGGAAGGTGCAGGGATCTTCTCTGTTGAATGAAGAGATCCGCTGCCGATCTATACGACGGATTGCGGAGTTTTCCCCAACCAGGTATCACCCGGACAAATAGATATCTTTCAGGCGGGACAAGCTCTAAGCTCTAGACTGGTCTTCCGTCGTAATTGATAATTCAGTGATTGTATGTGTGTATGTGTGTGTATGTGTATGTATGTATGTGTGTGTGTGTGTGTGTGTGTGTGTGTGTGAGGAATGAGGATAAGACAAGGAAGAAGAAGAGAAAATAGCGTGCGGTTCTTGGTCCATTTGTTAAGGTACTGCTCCGGCATTTGCCTGGTGTTGATCGGAGAAACCAAGGAAAACTAACGATCAGTGCAGCCTTCTGCTAGAATTCTCCTCCTGATAGCGGCTGAACTCGACAGAGTTATCTACTAAAGCTAGTGTCGAAAATACTGCCACCGTGGGGATTCAAATCTGAGGACCTTCCAATCGGAGGCACTGTAGAGACATCAATTGATTCTCTTTTCCACTTAAGCCGGTTCAC